TATTTCTAATATTTCTAATGAGAGCTCAAATTTATCCAAACTGATTCCTAAATGTATCCCAAATCTACTATTAATTATAATCAACCCAAATCCTAAAATTTACATAATTTTAATTCCATCTTAATTTTTCCAGATTGCTTTTAAATTCTAAACCTAACCCTGGCTCTACCCTAACCCTAATCCTAGTCGTAACCATAACCTGAACCTTAACCCTAACCCTAGTCTAACCATAGCCTTAATCCTGACCCTTTCCTGACCTCTATCATATTCCTGAACTGATCTGGCCTTGGCCAAATCCTGACCCAACTCTTGGGATTTTAGGAATGAGTTCGTGTATGTCCCGTGGTGGTCAGCCATTTCCCTGAGAGCTGCAATAATACAAGGCTAACAGGGAGGGGTATTTGCCTCACCAGAGTTAGTCTAGTTCTTTGGTGAGTGGGTTCTGAAGATGCTCTCTTGAGGTCAAGGAGAACAGGTGCAGACTCACTGGTCACGGAGAACCTTAAAAGGACAAGAACCTAGAAACACTTGCAGCCAACCCAGCTCTTACCTAGGATCTCTTGAAATCTGCCTCGTACAAGTACAATGGCAAATTAAACCTATGTTACTTCCTGGTAACACCTTTTAAACATTGACAAACTTGAGGCAGCGCAATCGCAGAGTTAACCTGATCTTGATTCTGGCTCTAGGTCTAGCCCTAGATTACCTCCAGGCTCCTAACTCCCTTCTGTAAGCTTCCTTTTCTCCCTCTTTTCAGTCCCTCAAATAATGACAAGAGACACTCAAGCCAGAGGACCATCTACCTTTACCCACAGTGACAAGGGCGAGAAAGTGTCCTCCTCATGTCTTCACAGTCAGTCCTGCACTGCCTCTCCAGGCCTCTCACTCGTGCCCTGGGCCCGGACAGCAGAGCCGGCTCCAGGTCCTTCTGAGGGCCTGCTTGACCTCTTTGTTGCGGAGGCTGTAAATGAGCGGGTTGAGAGCTGGGATGACCAGGGTGTAGAACACAGATGCCATCTTGTCGGTGTTCAGGGCATAGCTGGAGCTGGGACGCAGGTACATGAAAATGAGGGTCCCATACAGCATGGCCACAGCTGTGAGGTGGGAGCCACAGGTAGCGGCTGCTCGCCGGCGGCCCTCGGCCGAGCGCATGCGGATCACAGCCGCAGCAATGAAGCCGTAAGACACGGTAATAACCAGCACCGTGGCGGTCTGGATGAAGCCACACACGGCGAAGAGCAGGAGTTCGTTGAGGCTGGTGTCGTTGCACGAGATGGCCAGCAGCGGAGGGATATCGCAGAAGAAGCTGTTGACTTCACGGGAGCGGCAGAAGCTCAGGCGGAAGGTGAAGGTCGTGTGGACAAAGGCACTCAGTGCCCCGCCCAAGCCCGCCGCTCCCAGCAAGGCCAGGCATAGGCGCCGTGACATGGCCGTCGTGTAGAGCAGAGGGTTTCTGATGGCCACGTAACGATCATAGGCCATGGCTGCCAACAGGCAACACTCCGCATCCGCCAGCCCGGCAAACACAAACATCTGGAGGGCACAGGCCACGTAAGGGATGGTGGCGTGGGGCAGCAGCAGGTCCACTAGCATCTTGGGGCTGATGGCGGAGGAGTAGCAGGCGTCCAGCAGGGAGAGGTTGGCCAGGAAGAAGTACATGGGCGTGTGGAGCCGGGTCTCCACGCGGATCAGCAGCACCATACCCACATTTCCCAGCAGGCCCACCAGGTAGACCGGCAGGAAGATGAGGAAGAGGGTCAGGCGCAGGTCGCGGCGATCTGTAATGCCCAGGAGGATGAATTCAGCAGGGGCCACCCGGGCCCCGGTGAAGTTCTCTGGAATCATCCTCCTGGACAGAGACTGAGGTGAGGCAAAGCAGAGGGGAGGGAGAGAAAGGTCATGGCCAGCATGAAGGAGAAAGCTGGGTGTTTCTCGTGGGAGTCAGACCTGGGTTTCAGTCTCAACTGTGTAACAAAATTGCTATGTGACCTTGGACAGGCCATAAAACCTCTCAAAAACCTTTGTTTCTAACTCTGAACATCACTACAACTTAACCTTCAAAAAAGGCAGGAGTCTTGTCTAATTCACCTTTGTATCCACAATTCTGAGAACATTGCCTGGCACACAGTAGCTGCTCAATAAATATTTGTTAAGCAAATGAACGATGAATGGGATGATAGTGTCTGGCCAAGGATTGAGAACTCCACAAGTCTATATGCATGCTCCCCTCCAGTTTCCCAAGGAGGAAAAGAGACAATGGAACAGGCAGAAAGAGTCTCCTGATCTAAAGGGTAATTCCTATGGGTCTCAAGCTTTGCTGGGAGGACACCTTTCCACGGGGTAAGATCTGGGAAAGAAGAGGTCAGCAGTGGTTGGTGTCTTGGGNCAGGAGGAAACAGCAGCAGGGGCCAAGGGTAGCCTACCACTGGAGGGCCTGTGCAGGGAATTACTGGCCACATGATGGGATCTGGGGGCCTTGGCAGCATCCCCCTTCCCCTGGTCCTTACCCCTGGGGCAGGAGGCAGCTTGGCTCTGGGGCTTGTCATCCTTCCTCTCTAGAGCCCAATTTGATGGGTGAGTGCTGCCTCCAACTCAGGGGACATTGAGGAGCCCCGTGCATGGTGACACTGCTGCTCCTCAGTCCTTGCGAAGACCAGAGAGAAGCATCAGGCTGACTCCTGAACCCCAAGCAGAGTGACTGGGTGCAGGGGAACCCGGAGTCTACAGCAGCAGCTTCTGGGGCCAACCTTCCTCTCCCCTCAACTGTTGCTGGTTTCTTGTAGGAAGGGCAGGAGTGTGGGAGGGATTGGGCCTCTGTTGACAGTGGTAATATGTATGTCTGTGTGACTGTGTGTGTGTGACTGTATGTGTGTGTGATTGGTGTGTGTGTGTGACTGTGTGTGTCACTGTGACTGTGTATATGTGTGAATGTGTGTTTGAGGGATTGCATGCCTGGGTGTGGAGAGAGTGATCGTGTCTCTGCGCAATCAAGTGTGTCCGTGAGCTTGAGTGTGTGTCTGAGTGGGCAGCTGTATCTGTGTCTGTGGGGGTGGCCACACCTATGAGAGTGTTTCTTTGTGTGTGAATGTTTCCGTCAGGGGATTGGGTCTGTGTTGGAGGGGTTATGTGTTGCTGTGTGTATATTGTGGCATGAGAGAACTGTGCCTGAGTGTAGCTTTGCAAATGGGAATGGCATTGCAAATGGGAATGGCTTTGCGTGACACAGTGAGCACCCGTGAAGGGTGGTTTTGAACATGTGAACTTTCAATGATTTCCTATTGCCTATTAAATAAAGTCCAAATTCCACTACTTGATATCCAACCCATGGGGTGTCCTTCCCATTCCCAGATCCCCCATCTTCCAACTTCCCTCCACTTCTTTCCCAGCACATCCGTGAAGCTAATTAAATTGGTTTCCTTCGAGTCTCCAGCACACACTGAGCTCATTTCATCTCCATGCCTTTGTGTGTGTGCACTTGTCCTCCCTCCATGGAATGCCCTTCCCTGTATCCCCACTCATGCTGCAGGGCCCAACTCATTTTGTGCAATAAGTGACCTATCTCAGACCCCACCCCAAACTGCCTTTGTCTTTAGAGCCTGTCTTAGTAAGTGGTATTGAAAGAGGCTTAAAAGGGAAATGCTTTATTGGAATTGGGGAGCTTTACTGGGCATCTCACTTTAGGAGTGAGAATCTGTTTCTCTTCCTTTATTCTCCAGATTGGGCTCTG